GGGATTATCGTGTAGAATATCCTTTTCTTTCGGACTAACGTAATATGCAATCTCCCTCCTCTCCTCTCTCTCCGCTCTCCCCCCTCCTTTTCCGCCACGCCCCTCTCATCCTCCACCTCGTGATGCATACATTAAATAAAATTATATATAACTATATACATACACATGAAAACACTGAAATGAAACTGAATAAACAAATAATAAAAATAAAACACACACATTATAATGTAAATAAACATATTAGTATCAAACCATAATTTAGCATCTTTTTATGCTCACCGGGCTACAAGTATTTAGCACACCTTCCTAAGGAAAGGATATGGACCAGAAGACATTGCAATTACTAAATGATATTTAGACAGACTTAAAAAAGTTCCAGATCTATACTTGTGCCCTTATTATTTCAGTTATTTTACCTTTAATGTAAGTAAACATGTGCAAACAATATACTTGCTCTTGTGAATTTATTTGGATGTTATTTACATTGTGCCAGCTGTCTCTTTAATACCACGTGGTTTACAAACATGCTGCTGCTGATTGGGCTGACATGTTAGGTAAGGTCTTTCCTTCTACCATTAGCGGGTTAGATTTTTCAACTTCTCGCGTTGTTTCATTGACAAGTCCTTCCCTTCCTTCCCTTCCACCAATCTTCTTCTGCCCAGGATCTTCAACAGAATGTGTTACTTTTTCCTCACTGTTGTCACTGTTGTCGAATGATTCACCCTCTACAGGAATGGACAAGGAACTCCATTTGTTTCCTAGTTTGTTCTTTCCTGAGACTCCTAGATTTCTCATTAGCACTCGATCCCCTTCTTCAAGTATTTGATCTCGAACCCTCTTATCATAGAGTCTTTTGTTCTTCTGATGGCTCTTGTCTGCAGCCTCTGAAGCTAATTGGTAGGCCTTTTTAAGGTCTGTCCTCAGCTTAGATACATATTTCTGGTAATTTTCCGCTTCGCCTTCAGATGCCACAGAAAAAACAGAGATCAACTGGGAGTCTTGCTTCTCGTCCAAACATGAGGACATAGGGACATATCCAGTCGCGTCGTTTCTTGTACAGTTATAAGCATGTACCAACTGACTGACATGCTGACTCCACTTTTGCTTCTGGAACTTGTCAAGAGTCCCAAGCATCGACAGCAAAGTTCTGTTGAACCGTTCTGGCTGCGCATCCCCCTGGGGATGGTATGGAGTCGTTCTTGATTTTTGAATCCCCAACATCTTCAGTAACTCATGGATTAACTTGCTTTCAAAGTCACGTCCCTGATCCGAGTGTATACGTGCTGGTAATCCATAATGAACAAAGTACTTTTCACATAACACTTTGGCTACCGTGAGAGCTTTTTGGTCTTTCGTCGGAAAAGCTTGAGCGTACCTAGTGTAGTGATCAGTGACTACTAGGATGTTAAACACTCCTTTGGAATCAGGCTCCAGGGACAAGAAATCAATACAAACAAGATCCATAGGACCATTGCTGGTGATCTGCTTCAATGGTGCAGCTCTTTGGGGTTGTGTCTTACGAAGAATACACTTTCCGCAGTTCTTCACATACTGTTCAATTTCATTTGACATTTTCGGCCAATAGAAACGATCTCTTATTAAAGCAGTGGTCTTATCTACTCCTAGATGTCCAGTTTCATCATGCAGGGACTGTAAGACCATGGACCGATACTTCTGCGGTAAAACAAGCTGACGACACTCTTCGTGTTGTTGTCGCTGTATCACCCGGAATAATAGTCCTCTCCTTACTATGAGTTTGGACCCCTCTTTCTGTAGTAGGTGTACTTCAGGATCTTTGTCTCTGGACAATGCTAACAACTGCCCTTTTGACACAGCATGTCTTACTCGAGAAATAGCAGGGTCTTCTTCCTGAGCTTTTATTAAGTCATGGGTACTCAAATGCTCAAGAGAACCATAGTCTAGTCGGGTGGGAAATACATAGCATTCAGGTATGACTTCAGGGGACACTCCCAGCATCGCTACACACTTTTGGGTATTCATTGTTTTGCAAAGGGCTTTGATACCAGAGGGTGATATTTCTTGCCAATATTGTTCTTCTGTAGTGGCAAAGAAATTACGTGACAGAGCATCAGCATCAATGTTGTTTTTTCCAGGTTTATATTGTACGTTGAAGTTGTATGTGGACAGTGCAGCTAACCACCTGTGACCAGCGGCATTGAGTTTTGCAGTGGTAAGTATGTAAGTAAGTGGGTTGTTGTCTGTTCTTACTGTAAATCGTGCACCATACAAGTAGTCATGAAATTTGTCTACCACTGCCCACTTCAGTGCTAAAAATTCAAGTTGGTGGACAGGGTAACGCTGTTCAGAGGGCTTCAACTTGCGGCTGGCAATATGCTACGTGCCTTAACCCTTCGGGGTTCTCCTGGTTTAAAACGGCTCCCAACCCATTCTGGCTGGCGTCTACATGCAGAATGTAGGGCTTGGTTGGATCAGCAAATACCAACACAGGTGCGTTAGTAAGACACTGGATGATCTTCTGGAATGCCTCCGTACATTCTTTCGTCCACCTGTCCCCAAAAGCTTCAGACTCCTTGAAGTACATCCTTTCGTTCTTTGCAGCTTTCTTACTATGTTGAGTAGGCAGATATCCCTTGGTAAGTTCAGTAAGGGGTCTGACTATAGCGGAGTAATTAGCTATGAAGCGCCTGTAGTACCCGCAGAATCCCAAGAATGATCTAAGAGATTTCAAGTCAGTGGGTTGCTTCCATTTGGTCACAGCTTCAACCTTAGCTGGATCGGTGGCAATACCCTTCTCGGAGATTATATGCCCCACATATTTTACCCGAGGTTGACAGAATTGGCACTTGTCAAGTGAGACTTTTAATCCACTTTCTTCTAGTCTATCGAGGACTTTTAACAGACGTTCCTCATGTTCTTCTAGTGTTTTGCCGAACACTATGAGATCGTCCAAGTACACAAGTACTTCCAGCAGATTCATGTCCCCTTCGGCCTTCTCCATTAATCTCTGGAATGTAGCAGGGGCTCCAGAGATTCCTTGCGGCATCCTCTCAAACTGATAGAACCCAAGCGGGCATATGAACGCGGTCTTGTCCTTGTCTTCATCAGCCATATTGATCTGATAATATCCACTCCAGAGGTCTAAAACGGAGAACCACCTGCTGCCCGTAAGAGAGTCTAAAGCCTCGTCAATCCGCGGAACTGTATACTGATCAGGGATTGTTCTTGAATTTAGGGTTCTATAGTCGATACACATACGCACCGTGCCATTCTTCTTCCTAGCCACCACAATGGGGGAAGCATATGGACTCCTGGACTCTTTGATGATTCCAGTAGCCAACAACTCATGAAGATTAGCACTCAGGATCCATGGCTCCGATCCATCAGCAGGTAATACATCAAGAGGGAGTCTCTCTGCCTGCACTTTCTCTCGACATTCACAGAGCACTATCAGAGACTGTGAACTCCAGCAGATTCTTTACACAGCTGGGCTAACCTCTGGAACATACTGCCATTGGTACCGATGAGTAATGGAACCTGTTTGGGTCCATGAGGCTCTGGGAACACTAATGCCAATACACTGATGGATTGCTGCACCCCTGTCAATTTCTCCGGAAATTGCAGCTCTACTTCCACATAGCCACGATAAGGGAAACTGGCATCACTCAAGCCCCATACTGCTAGTCCAGAAATGGGTTGAATCGGAGTATCAGTCAGGAATTTATTGTACCATTCCTCAAAGATAATGGTTACTACAGATCCACTGTCCAGCAAAGCTTGACAAGGTGTTCCATTTACCTTCACCGGAATAACCGAAGATGGTCCCACTAGTCCTTCAGGGATACTTGTGGTTGGTTTGACTTGAACTGCGCTTCTTTTCACAGAACAGTTGTATTCCTCTACAGGAGCCTCCTCATTCCTCTGTTTTCCTTTAGCTTTTCGCAGAGATTGAATGAGTTTCTTAATCACTTTAGTCTCATTTACAGGGGCTCTGCATTTTGAAGCAATGTGTCCGTCACCCCCACACCTATAGCAGAAGTAATCTTCTGAGATTTTAGAAGATCCAGATACTTTTGATCGGGTGAACTGCACTGGACATGCTTGGTTACCCTTTGGAGCCATTTCTTTCTCTACTTTAGGTGTTGGTTGTGCAGCCAGCCCTTTCACTTGCTGTCTAAGTTTTTTCACTTCTTTCTTCAGAGCTTGTACTTTATAACTTTCATCATTGAACTCTGATGCTTGCTGGCTTTTCGGTTTCTTTTCAGAAATCGCATCATCCTTTGACTTAACTGTTCTGCCACCATAGTTTGTAAGTCCTTGATCTCAGTTGCAAGCTCTTGAAAGGATGAGTCTTTGGAATTCTCACTTCCAATTTGCACTTGACGAACGGTTGGATTAGCCTTTCGTCTTTCAGCTTCTCTTACCTCCTCTTCCCGAATCTCATGTAGCAGATCTAGGAAATCAGGTGGGTTTTCCTTTCGTTCCCTTAGGCGTAACTGAAGCAGCATGATGTCAGCCTGGATTGCTCCTCTGATGAGTTGCTCCAGACGTGCTTTTCCAGCCAACTGGGCAGGTAGGCCTCCTTTCTGTACAACTCTAATCAAGATTTTCTCAATTCTCCTCAGGAAATCCGACAAGCATTCTCCATGACGTTGCTGTAATGCTCTGAACTTGAAATACAGATCTTCACCGGACTCTGAGCTTCCAAAAGCACTTTCAATAGCTGCAAGATACTCTCTTGGAGATGCTTCTGAGTTTGTAAACCTTACCGCTTGGATAATCTCCAAGGCTGGTCCTCGCAAACTCTCCACTATCCTTAATTTCTTTTCTTTTTCGGAACGATCACTTTCCTCAACCATGAGCATTGCTTGTTCCATCCAATTCTCTAAATTATCCTCTCCAGCCGGAATAGGTGTGATACCTGAAAAGGTCCTTAAACGTCTAAAGGAACTGCTATCACTCGAGATTTTGGTGGTTTTTGCAAGCAAATCACCCACCGCTCTGATGATAGACTCGGGCATAGAAGCATTCAACAAGTTAGGCGAACTTGATTCTTGATGTTCTTCTCTTTGCCCAGATTCGTCAGGCGAGACGAAACTTTCCCCTCCACCATCTAAATCATTACCCTCCATTCTATTAGCACTCAGGATCCATGGCTCCGATCCATCAGCAGGTAATACATCAAGAGGGAGTCTCTCTGCCTGCACTTTCTCACGACATTCACAGAGCACTATCAGAGACTGTGACTCTTGGCTAAACATCCGTCCTCTTACCCTGACTCTTCCAAGGGCTTTGAATGATTGCATAGTTTCTTCAATTTTAGAAACATCTGTTTCTTCTGGAATTCCACTTACAATGATGGCATAATCTGGGTCTATGCCTTCACCTCGGCACCAACTTTTCAAATCAGGGACTGAGACAGAGGTCCGAAAATGAGCCATAGCTAGAGCTGAGCCACTTAAACTGTTACTTTGTACTATACAATTTAAAATGTGTTTTTTTTTTTTTTACTATGGATGCTGCTGAAATAATAAGGGAAATTAATCCCAGCGGTGCCTCCAATTTATGTAACCCCAGTAACGATACCCGCTATGTTAAAGCTGGGGCCTGGGTAAGTATTTGTTTCACTGTTATGATTAACTTTAACAGTTAAATATAATATTTCTCTTCCTTCCAGCAGCAAAAAAGACGATAGAATCCAATACTGGTCATATGAGGTTTTGTTTATATATTTAAATAACCCAATGAAGTTAGTAAAGCAATGTGAAAGGATAATAAAACTGTGTAAACAACTTTTTTCAATGTCAAATCAAATCCTTTAAAAGAAGGGACAATATGAAATAAACCAAACTTCTATTTTCACAAGTGTTAAACACACGTTAGGGAATTACATTGGAAAATGTACAAATTTACAACTCAATAACAAAATCTTACAATTTGGGATTTAACCCAATGAAATACTCTCTATATTCAGTAACAAAACAGTGGGCCCACTTTCCCGCTATTACTCACACACCCACCCTACGTTGCAGGCCTGAGGGTTTTTCCCAGAACGCGACGGGTCCCGCGGTATGATGAAACGTCGAGGCTTTGGCTCGCACGAGCGGCTAGCGGCTCTCCCATGCAGCAACAGAGGAACTCCGGCCTTTTCCGGTCACCCGGAGCGCTATCTGTTTCACCTTCTCTGCGTTGAATGTCGATCCGGTTCGTGCTAGTCACCACACAAGCACATGGAATGAACGTGCAAAGTGTAATCAGTGCTAAATATAACCAATACTTGCTAAATAAAGTTCTTATTAGCAAAATACAAATCACTGATGACGGATTCACTCTAGATATACGGGATTATCGTGTAGAATATCCTTTTCTTTCGGACTAACGTAATACGCAATCTCCCTCCTCTCCTCTCTCTCCGCTCTCCTTTCCCCCCTTTTTCGCCATGCCCCTCTCATCCTCCACCTCGTGATGCGTACATTAAATAAAATTATATATAACTATATACATACACATGAAAACACTGAAATGAAACTGAATAAACAAATAATAAAAATAAAACACACACATTATAATGTAAATAAACATATTAGTATCAAACCATAATTTAGCATCTTTTTATTCTCACCGGGCTACACCCTCCCCCTTCTAAATGTTTGAGGTCCCCATCAAACTTTCGGGATCTTACAAGTGTTTAATTCTTTTTTTCTCAGGTTCTCTACTGCATTTACGGCAAGTAGCAAGAGGGTGGCACCAACCAGTGTTACAATTACTTCTCTTACCCTCTGAAACAAAACTACAGTGCACTGGCATACCATGTGTAATAGTATATATTGGGCGGTTTGTAGCTTTACCCAACTCATCATAACTGAGTTTAATTACAGGCTTTATTTCTCTTTTAGACCTAATTTCTCTAAAAGGCTCCAGACCATTTGGATTCATTTCACTGTCAGTTTCTTCAGGAAAAGGTAAGGTCTTCCCTTCTACCACTGGAGGGTTAGGTTTTTCAACTTCTCACGTTGTTCCATTGACAAGTCCTTCCCTTCTCAGATTACCACCAATCTTCTTCTGCCCAGGATCTTCAACAGAATGTGTTACTTTTTCCTCACTGTTGTCACAGCTCTTGAATGATTCACCCTCTACAGGAATGGACACTCTTT